AACAATTGTTGAGTGGAAAAGGTGGGCACGGAGTTAGATGTTGTTCGTTCTGTTCGGTACACTCTCGATGCTCTTTAACGATCCCCAAACCACTAGCTTTCATTTGCTCCACTGTGGGCTAGGTCAATCATGATGTTGTCTTCTCGACTAGATGTAATTGGGCATTCGTAGAAGAACATTTCGATGAGCGTTAACGATTGACTTTAAGATAGAAAAATCAGCGGAAAATGTTATTGAAGGCAGAATCAATATATTTTATGACACTCAATCCCAATCAAACTGTTCGAGTCAATAAAAAAGTTGTAAGTACACATTATCTTAACTTTGTAGCGATGTTCAAACAGCTCTAATTATAGCATCCATCGTCCGTGGTAGTATGCAGATCTTGAGTAGGTCTTGGAATACATTATCTTCACGAAACAAACATTATAATTCCATAAATTTGGCGAAAATGTTTTCAAGTATTTTGGATTGCACATTAGATTATTCTCATTTGTTTTTCGCAATCCTTGTTGCTGAATCTTTATGATCGAGAACAGGGCAAGTTAGACTTTATGACTCTGGCATTCGGTGGGTGGGCTACGGAGTCCAGCGGTACTTCTCTAATCGTCTGTGAGTGAGCTCTTCGACGTTCAGCCTACAATTCAAATGGTCTTCACGTTATAGCGAGCTTGTGGAACCATCCTGTGAGATGCCTGGAATCGCCTTCTCCTAGCTCAACAATTCCTGGATAAATTTGGGATTCTTATTAAGGGATGAAGACAAGCTAAGTTGTGTGGATCGTGATTCTGTTGAGTAACACGCTCTCGTTGCTGGGGAGTGAAAGGACATGACGACTATTGTTATTGTAGCTGACCGACTTCTCTTCTTCATATGAAGCAATAATGTTTTACATATACTGAGTCACATGAGCCGGTTGTTTTCGGTCGGAGTTAGAGGACGTTACGCCAGAGCCTACCTGCGAAAGAGCAACGAGTCGAGATGCCAGTCGATGGTGAGATACAAGCGAAGTTGAGAGTGCGGTCGCCATGTGCTTGAGCTCGTCCGGATTCCTAGAGCGTCGTAAATCTTCTCAACTTGCGTTACGCTCATTCGAACAGTTGAAACGGCCTCACCAATCGTTCTCCAGCGGTGGTATCCTACTTAAGTGCGTCTCTAAGCTGTTCAACAGGTGTCGGAGCACTAGAGCGAAGCAGATGTGTATAGAGATGAATGTTCATACACTTCAACTTGATCGCACTTTCCTAGTTCGCTCGCCCCCCTTTTATACACTTTGTATTACATAATACACCACTTACGTCAACAAACTCGTTCGGACGTGAAAAGAATGCTCTTGATATTAATCAAAGGAGGCTTGTGTTACAATTCAATGCGACCAAACATTTTCATCCTATACATCATTTTTGGTGACATCTCAAGTGTTTTACCTAACTAGAAATTACTAGTTTGTGGAGACGAGTTTCGCTGTCAATCATTTTCAACCAAAGAAAGGACACCTTCACTCATTTGATTCTAGAACGTCACACAAATCATTGTGTATCGCTGCAAATTAAGCTACTTCACAAAATGTCTGCGTGGCTCTTATGACAGACACATGGGGCACATTCGTGTCTACAGTGCATGCCATTCTTTCTCATCTATGCATGGCTTCTTGTTGAAATTTGAAGGATAATGACAAGTCAGAAGAGTGGTTATCTATGAATCTCGGCATAAATAATATAGGTCATCATTTACCACAACTTAAAAAATGCTTATTTTACCTTTCGTTCCAAGTGATTCTTGCTCCTCGCTTTAATTTTAATATGCTTTATAGTTATTTTTAAGCCATGCATGTGGTCTGTTATGTGCACTTATACAGTGCATTACACGTTCGATCTTGCAGCCTTGTCAGTTGCACGGTGCCTCTTCGTTCAGTCAGCTCCTCGGAGGTGTACTCCGTCGAAGACGAACGTTTTACACGCGCCGTTAAGTGATAAAATTATCGGAAGGGCAGTGTTGTCACTTGATTGCTCTTGATTGGTAGTCGTGAAATATCATCTCTTCGATTTCGCTCAAATTTTAATTTGCTTTGTAGTTATTTGATATCACCACTTAGAGGCGCGTGTAGGCCAAACTCGTGTACAGCTGTACAAGTGCCATAACAGATCTCATTAATAGTTCAGAAGTAACTATAAGACATCATGCTTATTTTTGAAACTTAGAAACAGTAAAGGTATTACATGACAAGTTTTACCATTCACGAGCAATCGACTTTGAAAGCACCGCACGACGGGCGGTCTTTTCACCTCACGGCAGTGTAAGTTGTTCGTCGATTCCTCTATATGTGGGGGCCTCCCCTACAAGGAATTGGCTGAAACGAAAGGCACCGTGTAAATGATGAGACTGCAGTGAACCGAAGCACGCGTCTTGGACAATATAAGTGCCATAAGAGACTTCGTGAAAGACTCAAAATATATTATTAGATAAAAAAAAATTGATACTGTTCTGTTATGGCGACGCCACATGAGGCCTTCGGTAAAAACGTATTTTTTGCTTTTGCAAAACGTTTCTGTAGTTTTTCGATAGCTCAAATCAAGTAAATTTTGATAGCATGTAATTTCTCAAATAGCTTATTCTTGGCGCCGTGCCGGTCAAAATAAGATTTTGTCTCTCATTTGAGATTTCTCACTGGATGAAAGTTTTATTGTACTGAATTTATGGTCGTTAAATAGAGGAAATTTTTTTGATCATAATGGTGCATTTAATTTTTGGAAAGGACTTCTTTGAGCTTTGTAACGATCGAAAGAAAATTGGGTTTCACACTCAGTGAGCGCTTGTCGGCTAAGGTGTGTGTACAGCTCTGATACCAAAGAGCAGTTATATTTTCTTAATCAGAAAGACTTGTTCTATCTAATTGTAAAAATTTTGTTAGAAAAAATTTTATCAGGCGAGAAGTCTTCAAATGTGTAACAAATTCTCATTTGACTGATATGGCGTTGAAAGCAAGCAATATGAGAAATAAAATACGCCTTAGAAACTTGATTTGAGTATCGATAAACCATAGAAACGTTTTGCATAAGCAAAAAATGCCTTTTTACCGAAGGTCTCAAGTGGCGCCGCCGTGATGGAACAGTAAATCTCGGGTATCTCCAAATGTGAAGCAAAATCTCATTCTGACTGGTACGGAGCCAAAAATAAGCTATTTGAGAAAATAAACATGCCATTAGAATTCTTTTGATTTAAGCTATCGATAAACTACAGAATAGTTTTGCAAAAGCAAAAATTACGTTTTTACCGAAGGCCTTAAATGGCGCCTCCGTAATAGAACAGTACCGAAAAATTCGTAGAATACCTGGAAACCAGCGGATCAAGTGCTCATAAATCTTTGGCTCAGAATGGTGTAGCTAAGGGTTTTTTTATGATATCTTCATTGATGTAATGCTTCACTTCTAATTCATCTACAAACATTTTCGGCTGAGTGAGCAGTGTCGTCGTCGGTGGTTCACATGTGGTCTACATCAAAGCTGTGAAGGCGGAGCTGCTCCCTCTGAGATCTTTGAATTGTTCACTATGCGCCACCAGTTGTTCATTGCAGCGCTCTAACCTTTCCTCGTCGAATCCTTTCGACATTTTTCTCACTCTACCTATCTATTTTTTATTTTATTGATAATTTACTGATCCGTCTTCAAGTGTATTTTTTCACTGTGCAGGTCCCACTTCTTGCATTCAATTCGTTTCAATCGCCTTCTTCTTGAACGTCGTAGAATATTGGTTGAGTAAGGCTCCTTGCAATCGCGAGGATAGCCTGGCTGTGGCGTTGCATAAGGCGTTGATGTTGACTGCCGGAGAGGGTTGTGGAGGTGGAGCACGGCTCTTCGCGCGCCGTGGCGAGCACCGATGGCCACGGCGCACCCTATTCGAGGTCATCAATCTAGTAGTATTCTAGACTTCCTCCTTGTCATTAAAAGCACGCGATCTAAATTGGGAGAAATCATTGATTTTCAGGGGGCATAGCCCTGATAGTTAGCTATACTTCTCTCCATGATCCCGACGTATCGTCGTCCATAGAGTGTCTTTGCTTTTGTTTTTATTCTCTTCTTTCCCAGAGTGATGACGACGATGACGATGAGGGGATGCGATCCTCCTCCTCCTCCGATCTGTGGAGCGAGAGAGAGACAGTTGGCTTTTCGGCTCCGCCCCCACACCAACACCGACGCGACCTACCGCCGTTGCCGCCGTTGCCGCGCCGTTGCGCCATCACACACACACACACCACAACTGGCTGACAGAAGCTGCCGCGGCTCACTCATGCCTAACAACCAATAATCCCCTATATATTCGAAAAAACCCGCATCGACACGCCCACTTTTCTCACCGATCGTCGATAATTTTATAGGGCGGGTCGTGCGTGAGCATCGAAGTGGTCCTGGAACGCAATTACCGTAAATCAAGTGCTGACGACAACTGCCGGCCGGTCGGCCATCGTGTTCGTTTAGCCCGCAGTTTCCAGTTTTTCTACCGGTCTTGATCTCCATTTCGAACATCGTGATGGGAGCCCTCATTTTTCTGGAATGATCGATTATTCATATTAAAAAATCTGATTTTCTTTTTGATCTTAGCCTCACGGTTCGATAGCATTTTACGAACTGTCCTTTTTTTTCTTATTTAAAATCTGCGCAAGGTGGTACTTCTCCTTTTTGATTCGGTGGCTTACGTTTCGTCGATCTCGCCTTCCTCAGAGCCTCAAAAGATGTTTTATACCGAATTATTGTCTCTATTTTTTCCTGGATTTGGTGAAAATTTAGGAAACTCGTCCGTCAACTAGAGGTAGGAAAGAAGCCGATCGATTCCCTGCTATTCGGTGTAAAACGTCTTCTGGGGCCCCGAGGAAGGCGAAATCTATAGAACGCAAGCCACCGAAATTCGAAGGAGAAGTACCATCCTTGAGCAAGTTTCAAATCGATCGAAAGACTACTCCTGAACGGTATCATTGTAGCGTAGAAAGAGTGCTGACAATACAGGCGTCGATAGTGCAGCGGGTTAGAGCACGCGCCTCTTGACAAAGAGTGGAATGCGGGTTCAAGTCCCGCTTGACGTCAGAGTTTTCCGCACCACTCAAGATCACTGGGTTAATCCATAAGCGAGCTTTGTTTTGATTTTAATCGCCCTCCAATCGTCAATAGCCACTTATTTTGCGTTGTTTTTCTGATGGTTTAATTTCTATGGCGAGCTCGTTTCAGTGGTATCTCTACCTGTGTATCGATTTCATTGGCGCTGCAGTAATCACTGCGGTGTGGGTTTTCTTTAATGATTATTGAATTTTCAGTAGGATACGGTGGGTATCGTGAGAAGATCGACTTGGGTGAATTAGCGCCGCCGAGAATGGAAGACGCACATGCGAAGTCTGGCGAGGAGGTATGGCTTCTTTTTCCTTGTTTACCTGCTTTTTTTTTTACTCCGGAAGTCTTTCTCTTATAATTGTGAGCGAAAAATGCACACAGGTTTGCCGCTTCTTCAATGTGGGTCCGGATGGATTAACGGAAACACAGATTATAAAGCAGAGAGAAAAGTATGGATTTAATGGTTAGTTTTCTTTTTTTTCTGTAGGAATTTCAGCTGTAGATTTGATTTGATTTGAGGAAATGTGCTAATTATTCATCGTTAAACACATGCCATTGTTTCATCAGAGTTCGCTGAGTGATCTGCAGAATTTTTCTAGCCTGGTGGGAGTTGAACCCGCTTTTCATTATGTGGGAGACGCGTATTACCACTACACCCCCGAGGCTGCCACATACCACTCAGCATCCTCAGATGTGAAGTTATGGCATGGAACAGTGCTATAATAGGAGCAGAGAAAACCCAAGAAGCAGTGGTTAAAGATACTCGGTGACATGTACGCGTGGTCGACTGATCGATGATCGATGGTTCGATCCCGCGCTCAAATCTTACCATGCCTTCCATCTCTGCGGGGTCGCTGAATTGATGCCAGACTTGTCTAGGAGAATAACAGCATTCACTTAATACATCGTTAGGAAACCACGAGTCATTGTACCAGGTCAAAGATGCACTCAGTAAATCCTAAGATGCTTTGAGTAGGATCAAATGCATGGCGCAGCCCTTAGGGTTTGGTGAACGTTGAGAGCTTTTAATCCTTTTTATCGTCTAGTTGACACTAGTGGCTCTTCGACTCTCAAGAGCCTTCCAGGGCTTCAGTCTCAGATATCCGGTATTCCTTTACAAATATCCATGCGACATGACGATGTGTAATATTTGTATTCACGGTGAGGAATATCAAGCCAAGTTTTAACTCGAGCCTGTTTGATCGCTACGGAGATGCGAAAACGTCGATTTGGAGAAATGTTCGGCAATATTTTTTGTCAGTATCTGGGTGTAATTCACCGATCAGTATATGTTTTCATTCTGATTTTCAATCCAAATATTAAGAATGTATGTCTAGAGAATAAGTTAGGGATTTCAGAAATGCCTGCTGAAGTCGGAAAGACAATCTGGGAACTGATTTTGGAACAGTTTGATGATCTCCTTGTAAAAATTCTTCTCTTGGCTGCCATAATTTCCTTTGTAAGTTCCCGTTTCAGTACTTTGCAGTGCAAATCGTTTCAAATATTTTCGCTCTACCATCTTTTTTGCACTGTCCTAAGGCAGGCTTTTCATTCTGTACATATTTACAATCTAATATTGAGTTGTTCAGTATTAGTAATTTTCTTATTTTTACCTGTTTTCGCTCTTTAGTGCAGATGCTCTCCATTCATTTCATTGAATCTCTTTTCCATGACAAATTATCAAGCCAAATTTTCTCATCAAAATTCTTACTATCAGTTAGCTTTTGTTTGCGCCTACTGCCACACAACCATCACTGAACAGCTGCGTTTGCTTAGCAAAAGTCTACATTTCAAATCTTGACAATTGGTGTTTTAGAAGGTCTTTTTGTTCCCTCAGAAGATTGGAATTCAAAGTGTATTTTTTGTTTCGTCATAAAATATGATTTATGGTCAATGTTTTTAGGTTCTAGCTTTATTCGAAGAGCACGATGACCAAACAGCTGCGGTTACCGCTTTCGTTGAACCTTTTGTTATCCTTCTAATTCTTATAGCTAATGCCACAGTTGGTGTTTGGCAGGTGAGCTTCTTCTTTGATCCTGGGAGTTCATACGGTTTTTTGAATTTATTTGTCATATTAATCGCCGATTTCAGATCCAGTTTTTATTTTTTCGGTCTGATTCAGTAGAGTTTCCGTGACATTTATTCTCGAATTCAAGTGTACCGTTAAGGAACGGAATGCCGAATCAGCTATAGAGGCACTGAAAGAATACGAACCTGAAATGGCCAAAGTGGTGCGAGCGGGAGTCGAAGGTATCCAGATGATACGAGCACGGGAGTTGGTGCCCGGGGATATCGTCGAAGTTTCTGGTGAGTGGATCAACTTGTTTTGTAGAAATTGTGATTGAATGCAGCTAAGTACCTGGTCGTAAATTTTCGCGTCAAAATGTAAATGAGGAATTTAATGATTTGGAATACTAGAGAAATTCTTTACTGTTAATGCAGTGCATTTATTGCAAGAGAAAAGAAGTTCTTAGACTTGAAAATTATAAGGCCAATTAAAGAAATACTCATTTTAGTGGGTGATAAGATTCCCGCTGATCTTCGGCTACTGAAGATTTACTCCACAACCATACGTATCGATCAGTCTATTCTTACTGGAGAATCAGTGTCAGTCATCAAGCATACTGATGCTGTTCCCGATCCGCGTGCTGTAAATCAAGATAAGAAGAACTGTCTCTTTTCGGGGACAAATGTATCGTCTGGAAAAGTGAGCTCTCGTTTGATATTCTCACAGAGGCTACATCTGTAAGAAAAGAGAATGTTTAGGCTCGTGGAGTAGTGTTCGGTACTGGATTAGATACTGAAATTGGAAAGATTCGAACTGAAATGGCAGAAACCGAATCTGAAAGAACTCCGCTCCAACAAAAACTTGATGAATTTGGTGAGCAGTTGTCCAAGGTGAGTACGTCACGCTTATTGCCAATTTTTCAGCTTGATGGAGTCGTTAACATGATAATGAAGTTTTTACAAAGTCAACATAGTTTGTAAAGTGTCCATTGCTGTCGACCGATATTATTTTAGGTTATTTCAATCATCTGTGTTGCTGTATGGGCCATAAACATAGGTCATTTCAATGATCCTGCACACGGTGGGTCGTGGATCAAGGGAGCTATCTATTATTTCAAGGTTTGTTTATATATTTTCAGTGGTTTAGTGTAAGGAGTAAGTGTTGAGTGATACAGATTGCTGTTGCTCTTGCTGTGGCTGCTATTCCTGAAGGCCTTCCAGCTGTTATTACCACTTGTCTTGCTCTGGGTACACGACGTATGGCGAAAAAGAATGCCATTGTACGATCGTTGCCTTCGGTCGAAACTCTCGGTTGTACCTCTGTAATTTGTTCTGATAAGGTGAATTTGACAAATATTCACATATTTTAGGCTTCGAAAGGCAAATTGCCGAGATAATTATTGATTTTTTTAGACTGGTACATTGACAACGAATCAGATGTCAGTATCGAAGATGTTCATCGCTGAGTCGGCTTCGAACGATAACATCACCTTCAATGAGTTCACTATCACAGGATCAACCTATGAACCATCTGGAAAAGTTTATTTTGACGGAAAGGAGGTATCTTTTGCCATCACTTTTACCGATATTATGTGTAGCCTATACGATATGTTCCAGGTCAACTGCGCTGGTGGAGATTTGATGCACTTACCGAACTGGCAACCATCTGTGCTATGTGTAATGATTCAGCGGTTGATTACAATGATACCAAGAAAATGTATGAGAAGGTTTGTATCATTTGAGGTTAAAAAAAGTGTTTCATCGTTTTTTTTTTCGAAAATTATTACTGTTTCTTTCAACAGGTGGACTCGAATTCTCTTCAATTCTATTCAATTTCCAGTTATATTAGAGATCGGAGCCAAGTCGGCTCTGTCCAAGCTCCATATCTGATTACCCATTATTTCTTAACAACTAGTAGTTTCCATCGAAATACGTATCATTGCAAACATCTCATTAATGATGACCTTGCGGAAGATTATGAATTTTGGTTTCTAAAGAGTTCAATTTTTTGCAATGGAATTTTAAATCAGTCTGAAGGTATGTGTATATTTTCTCGGTGTATAATAAAAATGCTCTCGAAATTATTTCTGCCTTCCAGGTTTGAGCCGTCTTAGTTCAAAGTGAGCTTTATTATTTTGGCAAAAATCATCAAAATCAGCAGATCGCTGCCGAGGAGTTTATCCTCATATTGCTGCGAGTAACTTCCAATTTTTCGAAGCCTACCATGTACTTTTTTCATTTTCTTCCCTAGAAACGGGTACAATAGTCTCCTCAATATATCGTTAATGTTTGCGCCTGTTATGTTTGTGTTTGAGTCTTGAAATGACAGATTTTTTTTCTAATTTGAGCTCTACAAAAGTTCACATTTGAAGGAGAAAAAACCAAAACCTCTTTATTGTAATAGGATAGGACATTTTCTTTAACCCTTTGCGAACGGCTTCGATCGATTTTCACAGCTCACGCGCTATTCTCTTTATTTTGAAGTGAACTTCATATTTTCCATATTATTCTGATATTCCATCATTTTCTATACACGCACATATACCTTTTGTACATATATAACTCCTATCTGTATGTGGAGAAAACATTTAGTATGAAACGTGTTTTATTTGCGCTCCATCAAGTCTCTTCAAATTCCTCTAAAATCAAAAATACTCCTGGAATTGCCGATTTATACTTTCGAATGAGTACTAGATCAGTTCAAGTAAAAGCCATCCAAATCCTAGGTATGCAAAGAAAGCGCTTCTGGTGTGAAATATAATTTAATTTTCGCTGCTACAGCGCACAAAGAAAGCGTTTTCAAAAATCAAGCTCTGACCGGAATTAAAGATTTCTACTGACTACTAAGATTCTAGTAAAAAAGCTTTTTCGCGAAAAAGACCTTCAATACCACGCCGTTCTTAGAGACAGCCTCTCAGGGGCTAAATTCTCAATTGCTCAATCGTCGAAGTTTTGTGGCCAGTTATCAAGAA